TGAACTGCAAGATGATCTCAGAATCTTGACAGATATCGATAAATCTGCATAAGATCTTGAAAGAACTGAACAGAAACTTCCGAAATCTTTCAAGTTTTTATCAAGATCTGCAGTCAAGAATTTTAACTTGGGTAAGAAATCCCATTTTTATCTAAGCCTACCGGATCTAGGGTCAACATACTGATCGAGCGTCATGATAGTCATTGGGATCGATGCCGAACTTACTGGCACCCAGAGAAACCAAAACGACATATTCTCTCTATACACTTTTGTAGATCTCGCCTTGGGCTGCAAGCCCCTATATCCGCCCCTTACTAGCGGAGAAAAATTCGGCTTTTCATCAATTTCTACGGCTGTTCGACTTCGATGTCTTTCAGTATTTTGAGCCGTGTGTCCCACAGGATAGGTGACCAAGCGTCAGCTTTTGCCAGAAATTGCGCATAAGATAGAGCTACAAAATTCACTATTTGAAAGTTCTCCTGCTGGGTGCGTCATACCCAAAATGATCTCGCATTAAAATCTGAAATCCAATTTTAAGGTCATTTTTCCTTTTTCTTGTTCAGTTTCATTATTTTATGTACCACTTGTTAGTCAAAGTCTAAATATAAGATCATATTCAGGTTCAGCGTAAAAAACTGGGTCGAGTAGACTATACTAGAAATTTTCAGACGGTCTTATAGGTAGCTTTGCTGGATATATATCTGATTGCAAGGATGGATCATACAGTCGACTGTATACTTTGGCCCTCCCAGTTCCAAAGCTCGCTTGTTTTACCAATCTAAATACATAGTTTGTAGGCTCATATGGGGCTACACAATGTACTGTTTGAGCTTTAGTTTTGAGTGAGTAAAGATGCCAGAAGCGGCTCTTTGGTAAGAAGTCACCATGAACTTATGAATATCTTAGAAGGCCAATACGCATATCTCCTCTAAACATTATTTGATGACACTCAAAACTTCGATACAGACATATTTTTAGATGCTCCTTCTACTGGTACCTTCAAAACATCAAAATAATAAATCCAAGTAAAATAGGTTTTCTAGAGACACCTTCAACAACCAACGAATTTCAGAAATATAACTTCGCACTTTTAACCATCAGGAATTGTAGTCCATTTGAAATTGTATCTCTCCTGAAGTATTCATGCGAAAAACGTTTTGTTTGATCGAATACGACAGAAAATAGTGGAAAGCATCCAGATGCTATCGTGTGGTTGATTTTTCATGATTTGACATCGGTTTATCTCCTCACTCGAGAGGTATAGGAAGGTGAAAATTTTAGGAGAGATACAATTTCAGATGGACTTGAGTTCTAGAGTTCTTGTTGACGAACTTGAATCTGTTTTTGTACAGCAGCCATTAAATCTCGAACTGAAGCAGGATCCATCAGCTCCTGTTTGGATGTGTCCATTCTTGTTTCTGCTAGAGAAGTGATTTCTAAAATAAAATCTTACTCTCTTTATCATGTGTTTAATATAAGCTGCATCATGTGTAGCAGACAGAAAATTACGAAAACAAATATTTAAAATTATGTCCGTCGCTTTATCTACACTGCAAATGGACAATCACGTCATATTTAGGTAGAAAAACGAAAGTGAGATTTTTCGAGATTTCAATAGCACATCATACACTTTGGCATACGTTCTATAACTTTGCCATTGCAAGTTTTTTTCTAGGTGTCATTTCTAGCGGTAAAAGCGACGATGAAATTATTTTAGGAAAACAGAGCGGTTAAGATAGAAAATCATTTTGCGACAAACAATAGACGATATTTATTAAATTTTACATAGTCTAAAACTAGCCATTTCACTCTATCTATTCGTAAAAAGAACTTCTGTTTTGGCTTTTCCATGACCGAGAAAATTAGCTTTTTTCTTGCTACGTGTTTTTCGAAAATGTGTGCTCAGTGTAATCGATTTCCGATTTTTTCCGAAGCGTCAAATTCAACGACTTTTTTTACCGAAGGTAGACCTACTAACGATATATATATACTGATAGTGCAAACTAGCGCAAACTCTCTTGGACCGAGTTATAGGTTTTCCAAAAAAAACCCCGGTTGTTAAAATAAATTAGGTTTTTCTAGGTTCATTAACATTTAAATTAAAAAATAACGAGATATTTGGAATCAGCGCAAAATACTGCGTCGAATGGTGTATAATTCTGCCGTGTTTGTGCTGAAATTTTGAATTTATTTGATTCCTGTGTTTCTTGCATGTGCGTATATAGGGATTTTTGATTGAAAATTTTAAAATTTGAAATTATCAACAGATGAAATCATCTAAACACTATTGCAATAGGTTACCGATGATTCTCTATCCAATGCAGTTGTTTGACCTTTTTAGAATTCGAAAAGCATTCGATTAGATGGAACACACAAGATAACCTGTAAAAAACGCGTTCTTAAGTTTTCCTCTAGCTTGCACGTCAAAACTCCACATGGCTAGTGAAAATTGCCCACTGTGTGTAGTGCATATATTACGTAAAGCAACAAACAAGAAAGCAAAAACATGAAATAAATTTTCGACAATAAAGTAGACAGGGTAAGAAAGAAAATATAATGCTCATGAAGGAAAGAAAAAAAATGTTGGCGTACGTCAGTGTTGAATAAGAGTATATGATTACGCAATCACACTGAAATAACTTAAAAACATTATAAAACCACGTGAACTGGAACTGAAAGTTACTTACCGAGACACACGTAGAGATGTTAGACTATCAAGGATACAGTAAGATATCGGAGAGCACCAAAAGTTGGACTCTCGAAAAATCCGATAATTCCACATTTAAACGAACTACTTGGGCCGTTACTGAAAAAATTCACGGTGCTAATTTTTGTTTCCTATGTGATCAAGATGGTCAACGAATTCGTTGTGGAAAACGAACGGAACTATTATGCGATACAGATGACTTCTTTGGTTACAAACGATTGCTGGATGCAACCATTCCGAAAATACAACAGACATATGCATTCGTTAGAACAACGTTGATGACTCAAGAAAAAACTTTAGAAAAATTATACGTGTTTGGAGAATTGTTTGGCGGTAGTTATCCACATACCGATGTTGCCAAAGTGCCAAATGTCAGTGCTGTGCAGACTGGTATATGGTATTGTCCCGATATCGAGTTTTATGCATTTGATGCGGCTGTAGTATTAAATGGTAACGATGAAAAACAAATTTATCTCGATTTTGAACTTTGTTTAAAAGCCTTTCAACATGCTAATTTGTTATGCGCCGAGCCTTTATTTATTGGAAAGTACGAACAAGCCATTAATTTTGAAATTGGATTTAATACTAAATTACCAGCAAAATTAGGACTTCCATCTCTTGAAGGGAACAAAGCGGAAGGTATAGTAATTAAACCAATGCGTGAAATAATGGTGAATACAAATAAGGGTTTAGTACGTGCAATATTAAAAAAGAAGATTGAAGAATTTTCAGAAGAAAAATTTAATCAAGCTCAAAAACAAGAAAAAAAAACTGAATTATCCGATGTAGATTTATTGAGATTTGAAATCGATGCTTTGGTGACTGAAAATCGTCTCAACAATGCTCTAAGTAAAGTGGGACGTGTGACTGTCACCCAGAAGGACAAAATAAATGAATTATTGAATGTATATGTTAAGGATGTGATTGATCAGTTGTGTGAAGACAATAAAGATATGTGGACAAATCTTTCGCAGAATGATCGTGCCATGTTGAACGAAGAATTGACGCTAATGACAAAAAAACTGATTATTAAATATTTCAAAACTAAACCTGATGTCTAATGAACAAACTGAAATCAAGCGAAAGTTTAAATTAGATCGTTTACTCAAAATTATAACGTGTCTGTTCAATTCCTTCAGTCATAAGCACTCATTGACACTCATCAAGTACGACAATTCTCTAACGGTGACTGGATTAAGTGTCACAGGCAGAAATACTACGGGTTCCAATTTTCAGTCATTACAACCACTGTTTATATGCGAGTGTAATATATACCAAACATTGTTGTTGTCGGACACAGTAAGATTATTTTATTCATGGACGAAATAGTTTTCTGTGGCTGATCGGAGAAGTCAAGCGACTTTTTCAAAGTTCAGCTTTTCTCAACGGCATTTCTAATCAGTTTCTGTTCGATTTAAATGTAATAAAATAGCTTTTGAAAGATATTTCCAATGAAAGTATTGAGCATCGTTTTCATTCGATGTGAATATCAATGTTTATTCTGGGGTAAATGTATTTGGAAGGAGGTATAGTACTGTGTTTCAGCTGTGTGAAAAACTACTTCTCTACTGTCTCTAGATTAGGGGTGGTACCTTCCCGTTACTTTACTCTGAAAAGTTACTAACGAAAATCCGTTACCCATTGCCAGTAACAGTAATGGAAATTCGAATTTTACTAAAAAGTAACGGAAAGAAACAGTAAAAGATTCCTTTTTGTTGTTTCGATAGCCTGTTATTTATTCTGTTAAGCTTCTCTTAATGATGCAAAAATATTCTTTTTCGAAACATTTCATGCTTCCACGGAAACGTACCACTCCTATCAAAAAAAATATTTCATGCTTGGCCTGAAATTCCACGTTGTATGGTTAACACGAGTTCAATATTGTTTACTCTCGTCTCAAACAAATTCATTCTCAAATAGGCTTCATTGATACAATTCTGTCCTATCTAAGACCTATTTATGACTTGTAATATTTAGCATCGCTGATTGTTAGTGGAGCAATGCATTTATGATCAAGAGCGAAAGTGTTTAAAATTTTAGGTTGGATTCCGTTAGAACACATCTATGCAATTTATAAAATAATTCTTTTTTTCAAAATAAAAAATGGTCTCACATTCACTTTCCTTTCTACACGTATTCCTAAACAACCAATTGTTACTACATTTTTGCGCTCAAGAGAGAGATGTCAAGTAAACGTATTTCGTACTCGCACAGAGAAATTCAAAAACACTTTTTTTCCTTCGGTTGTAAGACAATGGAATATATTGCCTGTCGAACTGCAAAACATAATAAAATTAAAAAAATTTCGAATACAAATTAATGATTTCTTTTTTCCAAATTACAAGTAGTCACGTTTTAAACTCAGTGAGCATAAATATGATTGCATTCTAAATCAACGAGAGTCAACTTCTCTCGACTAAGTTATGATCTTTTTCAAAAACATTTGTGTACTAGTCGCTTTTGCGCTTGTAGAAAAATAGAGTTAGTCAAACATTTTCGGTTGGAATGTCCACGTTATCAGCATCAACGACAAATACTTATCTCCGACTGATCATCTCTAGCTCCTACTATCCCCTTTACGCCTGCAAATGTACTATTTTTAGAAAAATTTGATAATCTTTATTACTAACTATATAAAAAATACTGAACGTTTTTGAACCCCAAACAATCTCTTAACCTGTCTCCATTATGCCATATTTACCCTTTTCCTCTTCAGTTTTCGTTCTGATTCTTTTTTCTGATTTTGCTTTTATTTGTTGTACTTTTACCTTCTCATATTCTTCTTTCTAGTCGTTCACTTTCTTATTGTATGTATATCGCGTGCGTGTATTCTGCGTACATGTTTTTATCTAACCATGCTAGAAAATGAATGTGGCTGTGCCAATCTTTCTCTCTCTTTAACCATATATCAGTGTACACTAGCAACTTTTTACTTTACAGAACAGTCACAATGATCTCATGGGTTTTTTCCTTTCTTTTGGATTTTTTCATGTCTTTTATTCAGTAGTTCTCTTTTCTTCTTCTCTTCATTACATAATATAAAAAAGCTTATATGAACACGAGTTCTGCATATCAGAATGTGGTTGTATTATCGAACTGACAAAAATCTATCCTTTAATTCAACGTTCCTATCAGTTTTAAACGGTTGACAAATTAATTAACAGGTTATTTCAACCAAAAAAATAATTCACCCATTACTTTCCCAGAAGTAATACGAGTTTTTCAGCTTGTATTCTGACAGAATAAAGCTTATATCAACACGAGTAACAGATTTTCGTCATCCATTACAGTAACAATAATGGAAAGTACCACTCGTACTCTACTCTCCGTTTCAAAATGGTTGGCACTCGGTTGCTTTTTGAATAACTCCTCGCGGGAGGCAGATAATGAAGTGCGGTTTTCAGCATTAGAAAGAGGACACTTTAAGACATCTTTTCATAGGCGAAAGTCAGTTTCAGAAAAATTTCCTAACTTCGTTTTCCAGGAGATCTTTGAAAAACCAGGTCGTGTGTGCGAATTTTCCAATAGGATTGTACTCATTTTTTTTCATGAGTTGATAGTCCGGGATGTTCTCTTGAAAATGGAAGCCAGACGAGGCCTTGATTTTCCGTGGTTCG